TTCTAGCACATCCATTTTTTCAAACACATCTGGGTATTTTTGAGAGTATTTTATCTGTTAGTAACTTTTATGATTCCATCTTTTATTTCTTTCAGCATTTCACACATAGTTTATATTCCACCTCTTCTCATATGGAAAGTCCTAGGGCTATTCATGTCCAGTTCTTCCTCTTTCGTTCCTTCAATGCCCTTTTCTCACAACTAATGTTCCCTTCATTTTGAGAGATTTTTTGAGCTCATGTTGATTGATATTTATCTGTAGAAGTTATGAGTTTCCTGTGCCTGAAACTCTTTCCTCCAGAGTTGAAACTAAAGAAGTTTTCTTTGTATGGGAGTCTCCTGTGCACTTGTCCCTTTGCTGCTGCCCACTGCAATGCTGATGATTGTTATATGCTCTTAGAACAGACCTACTTTTTGCACTTACTTGCCACCATTTTTTCCTGCTCTACTTTGTAACTCACATTTTATTCAGTACTTACATTTCAAAAATGAATCGTGGGCTTCAGAAAAAACCTTCTTCTTACTTATTGATAAATGAAATTAGTCATCATGAGCCTCCTTTGACACAGTAAAAACTAACTTCATTTGGCCCTCTTGTATGCTGTCATGATTGATCAAAGGAGGCCATTTTATTTGATGTATGGGGTTTTGCAGTCATAGATCAGTGAAAAGCATTGCAGCCTTTCCAAAGATAAGGTTCAAAGGCAGTTATGGGCTGGTGTCAATACCGGTTCATTGATGCTAATCAGAGTCTCTACAGAGCTGGGAGAGGCAGCATGAACTGGTCCGCTTTGGTGAACTAGAGCAGAATGGGGAGGAAAAAGAGAGGGGAGAAAGAGGAGCAGATAGATTTTGGGATACAATGTTTAAAAAGGGAGATGTGTTTCAAATGGAGCATGGCCTGGCCCCAGATGTATACTATGTTCTGGCCTGATCTTGCTTTCAGTGTTTGTATGGAATGCACATTAATGGACGTAAATGTTGCTGTGTTTCAAGGCAAAAGTATCTTGACATATTTTCCTTTGTGTTTCAAGCATCAGTGACACTGACATCTCTCCTGAGTTGAGGCCTCTCAACACATTGTCAAGGATGTCACTTGCCTCCACACTTCCTCCTCCCTCTCTCTAGCCCACCTGGAAAAACCACAGTGGATCTGATAGCTCTCCGTGAGGACTGCCCACTCCATATAACGTGGCCCTGTCTCTGTACAGCTGTAATGAAGTTTTCCCCATGCACATGGCCAACCCAGGCACCCCCTGACTCTGATGCCCTGCCTAGGAATTCTCCACTCTGCCAGGGAAGGAGAATGAGAACCTTGATTGGACTGGTATGTGCCTCGTTCCTCTGTTCTGTCAACAGCAGACTGGGCAATAACTCAGTAGTCTTAGGGAGCCTGTTGAGCAAGTGCTGCGCTACTTCTGGTCCTCATAGCCCCACCTGTGCCTAGCATCACCACTGTACATCCTCTCACCCAGGAGAGCCCAACGGGTCAGCCCTGCTTCCTGGCTCACCTCTGCAAGGGACCGGTGTCTGAGGCTGCCTACCTGGAGGAGCCTATGCCACAAAAGGCCCCTCTTTAGGCCAAACTTCTCAATATAATCTTAAAGTCGAGCCCCCCAATGCCAGGCTTTGTAACAGCAGACTACAAATCTGTTAGCTCACTTCTTCTGAGGGAATCATGGCGGGGGGAGTATTCAGAAACAGTCAAGGGCTTCAGTGACCATCCCAGGCAAATCAAACCACACAGAAAACACAGACTTTCTTTGACTCTCTCCATAGACCTAGATAGAGAGAGAGGGAGAGTGTGTGTGTGTGTGTCTGTGTGTGTCCACCAAGGACAGCTTTCTCTGTAGCAGCAGGAACTGTGTACAGGAGGCAGTTTTCAAATCAGCTTTATATGTATGATAAATTAAAAATAGCCCAGCCTAGGATCTGCCTGAGGCCAGCAGATATCTCCCTGTTGCTGGCCGTTACTGTGGCTGGGCCCTCTGGTCTGTGCCACCTACAGGTGCCAAGCCTGTGGGTTTCCCTTCTTTGCCCTCACTTCCTGCCAGCTGCCTGGGCACTACTCAGGCTGCATGTCCACAGCACGAACTGCACCTGCCGGTTACCTTTCCTGGGCACCAAGTACGGACAGCCAGAGAGGCGGAGGGAATTTCCAGCGGCACCCATTACATAAGAGCATTTCAGGGATGTGCAGCCTTTGCAGGAATTGTCGGTCCATGATCAAGTGATGATCTCCATTTCCTCCTCTCTTAGAGCCTTTTGTACAGTGCTCACTGTGAATTGTACAGCCCATAAGGTGCAGAACTGTCCAGATACAGCTGAATGATTACTCAGCAAGTGAACACCACTGAGTCAAGAAGCAAAATACTGTACAGCCCAAGCTGCTGCAGACTCTTCCCCACCCCACACTCGCCCTTCCAGAAGAGACTACTTCTAGACTTGTGTGCTCATTGTGTCCTGGCATGTTTTGGCTTTTGTTCTGTTTTTGTTTTTGTGCTCTGTTTTACCACCTAGTTGTACATATTTGAACACAGTCATTTACTTTTGTCCAGTTTGTGACTTTGTGTACGTTGGATCATGGAATATGTTTTCTGTCTGTGAGACTTTGTGTAATTGTCATTGTTTTCATTTTGTTGCTTTAGTATTTTATGTGCTATGCGTAGATTTATGGCATGATTCATTTATTTACTCTGTGGTCAATGAACATTTAGGTTGCACGTGGTTTTTGATAAGCACAGATAAAACTTCTAAAAACATCCCAGCACACATTCTGGGGCATACAGTGCACAGTTTTTAATACCTGGAGGTGGAGTTCTTGACACAAGAGGCTGGCAATGTGCCAAACAGTCTGGCAATGTGATTGCAACAATAGATGCTCCCACCAGCAACATATGAGGGCTCCTGTTGGTTACCATTCTCAGCAGCACTTAGAATACTCAGTCTCTTAGATTTTGTACAGTGTCACAGTATTGACACTGCAGTCTTAACTTGCCTTTGCCACATCTCTGAGGTGGATTACACCATCTTCCTGAGCATTCTGTGATTCTTCATGTTAGTTTTTGTTTGTTGTTGACATTTATTCACTCACTTATTTAAGAACCAGGGTCTTAACTATGTTGCCCAGGCCGGTCTTGAACTCCTAGGCTCAAGCGATCCTTCTGCCTCGACTTCCCAACTAGCTTGAACTACAGGTATGCACTGCCAGGCCCAGATTCCATGTCAGTGTAAACAAGAGAAAAATCAATTGCGGTTTGTGGCAAGGTGGATTGGTACATAACAGACATAGAGTCAAAGAACAGAGTTCACATCCCATTTATTATCTTCATGACATTCAAGTCTCAGATGTGAAGGACTCTAAATAAAGAAAAATGACATTTTGGTGTGTCCTCTAATCATCCTTCCAAGTTATGGATGCACACATAAATTCTTGACAGTTTTTTATTTATATAGTTTTTTTATACACCCAGACTATTCCATGGTCATTGATATTTATAAGATATACGCATAGATAACCCCATATTATAAATAGCTTCCCTATAAAATAGATTCAGTTCTCTAGTCACATAAAAATATATTTTATTGTGCGGTCTGGGTTTTTTCTGGTTTACTGGTAACCAGCTATGGCTGTACCTAGCCATAGGACCATGATGACAGAGTTCACACTTCAGGAAGCTGATGACTCGGGTGGTTGGGGAGGATGCGATGTTTTCACAGGGGAAGTTTCAGAATGGCTACCTGCCAGAAGGGTCTTCTGCCCTGGCCAGCTGCCAGGGTGGGGTGTGGGGGGAATCCAGCCACTATACCTGGCCAAACACCACTTGAAAAGAAACTCGTTCCAGCCTCCCACACCACAGTTCAGCCTTTCTGTCTTGGGCGAGCTTTGTGAGATGAGTGTACACAGCAGGGGAAAGGGAAGTGTGGCCACGTCCGGTACCAAAGCCTATCTCACTCTTGTGTGCCCATAGCTGTAAGCCCTGGGGACCCAGCAGAGGCAGCAGAAATTCCCCCAGTATGCAGAAGTTGGGGTGTCTGGGGCACAGTTGAGCTCTTTCCAGGAAGGGAGTTTGGGAGGGTTGCTTAATGCCCCTGGACCTCAGCTTCCTCGTTTCTGCAAATGCTAGGCCTGGAGAGGCCTCCTCATGACTCACCCATTCTCCAGCCTCATGATCTCAAGGGGTGGCAATGACAGAAATTCATGTCCACTTTGAGCTTTTCAGCCCCAGTGGGACTGCCTCTTGCCGAAACCCTGCGGATCTTCCAGTGCCTTCTTACCTCCCACAGTCAGGAGTGCCCCTCACAAGAAGCACAGGGGATATACACCTCTGCTTGTCACTGACTCCTGAGTCTCAGCTCACCAGGATGTGTGGAAGGGGAGGCACTGAAGTTCACCTGAGATGACACTGATGAACAGCCATCATTCAGGACCATCAGCACAGCACAGCACAGCCCCAGTGCTGTCCCCTTATCCCTCAGTGATGATGATGTTTTCTCCTTGAGGCCTTTACCTGGCAATGTCAGGAACATGTTAGATCCTGACCTTGCTCGTGCAAAGGGGACAAGGAAAGGAGGTAAAGCGGGCCCTGGAGGCAGAAGCTCGCACATCCCTCCATCTGCACTCCAGAAGGATTCTGATTAGAGTTCGCCCCAGACACTCCCAACCATCCCCCAGGGAGACAACACAGCTGGACGATGACACCACTGGGCTCCACTGTGCCATTTGCCCTGAGCCACCCTACTGCTCACTGAGCCCCAGGCCCCCTGCTTCCCCTTCAGGCCTGTTGGGCTTTAGCCATGGTCTAATGGCCCCCAACCTGTTAGCACTTCCTATTTCAGGCTTGCTGGTCTTGACCTTTCCTGAGACCTCAATGGTGGGCACTACCCTCCCCCAGTGGAGGGATCCAAGGGCATCTTCTGAAACCTCAGGCAAGGCCTCCTGCTAAAGCCTTGCGAAGGACCAGTCCCTGTAGGTTGATGTCACTGTGTCCTCTCTTCCAGGATCAGAGCCAGAGACAACAATGGCTCCTACGCTCTCTGCCTGCTGCACGAAGGGAAGGTGCTGCACTATCGCATTGACAAAGACAAGACGGGGAAGCTCTCCATCCCTGAGGGGAAGAAGTTCGACACACTTTGGCAGGTACATGTTGTCTTCTTCACCTACCTCTCAAGCACAGCATTGAGCCCATGGAGCTGCCTATTCCATGGACTCTGAGAAGTTTGTGGAGGCCAGGCATGGGGGGTGCATGCCTGTATCCCAGCACTTTGGGGGTCTGAGGCAGCATGATCACAAGTTAATCCCCAACCTGGGCAACTCAGTGACGTAGTGACAACCTATCTCAAAATAAAAAAGGGCTGGGGATGCACTTCAGTGTGAAGGTTCTGGATTTAATCTGCAATCAATCTTCAATCAACTAATCAACAAAAGGAGAAGGAAAAGAAGAAGTGGGGAGAAGAGCCAGGTCACCCACAGTTTGCAGTGTGGCTCCAAGCACAACAGCAGCTGCTGGAGCTTGTGAGAGGTGCACAGAGCCCCCGCCCCACGCATGCAGTGGGGCTGCTTTCCAGCCACTAGGTGACTTGCATGAGAAGTATGGGCAAAGGAGCCCGGATGTCAAGGGTCCTAGAGTCTAGGAGGTCTCATCGCTTTCCCAGGGCCTTTTAGCTCTCAGTGCCACAGCTCATGTCTGTGCAGGCCTGTGATCAGAGTTCAGCAGAAAGCACCACTTTGGGGGACTGGAAAACATTATTTTCTAGGACATTCTAACTAACCAGATCAATCTTTCAGACAAACACAGAAACAAAGCTATGGGTGGCCTGGGGAGAGGCCTGGGGACAGTGACTCAGAGGCTCTTGGGGTTGTGAGATTGTGAGGGGCCACCTTCATTGCAGGCCGATTTTTGTGCAGTCCTTCAAGAGAGTGGTTCATATTCCTTGAAAGGGTTGTTTTTGGATGAATGAATGAATGGGTGACAGAGATGGTATATGGTTCCCTAAAGCCTAAAATATCTCTTCTAGATATTTATGCAAATGTTTACCAACCACTGCCCAAGGACATCTATGGCTGAGTTCCAATCTCCCCAGCACCCTGGCAGTGGACCATCTGGAAACATCAGATTTAAGTTTCCTTAGGTCACTTTAAAGCCCAACAAACAGTCTTTAATCTCTCTGTCACTATTTCCCCATTTCTTGCCCCAGTATTTACCATATTTTCTTCTCTTTCAGCTAGTGGAACATTACTCTTACAAGCCAGATGGTTTGTTAAGAGTGCTTACAGTTCCATGTCAAAAAATTGGTGCACAGGCAGGTGAGTTATGAAAGCATCTGAATGTCTGTTTTTCAGATATCGATCATAGTCACCCGCATTTCAGATCCCAAAGTCAGGTCAGATGAGACCTTGCTCTTACAGAAGAACTAACTGGGTTGTCAGAGCATTCCAATTTTTAGGCATCACAGATCAAAAACTAGTCAGTCGCTTTTGAAAAACTAATTCATGGATGAAAAGGTGACTGAAGAGTTTGGAAAGAAAGGGGTGCAGAAAGTTTGTAATCTTCTCAAGCAGCAATATCATAATCATACTCATTGTTCTGTGATAGAGAAAGGGGGCTAAGTAAGTGGTGTTTGCTAAGACAGTGTAATTGTTCAGACCCTTTCTAATCAGGAAATATTACTTTTGCAGCCCACACACAGAGTTCCAGTGTTGCGGTAAGTATCATCAGAAATGCCACTGGAGCTGGAGCAGTTAAGAATTAGCGCAAATTCAAAGCAGGTTACAGCTAACAAGAGAGCAATCACTGTTTTGATGGCACTTGAAAATTTCCCCCTTGATCAACTGGGAATGCTGGTGAGATTAGGTACAATCAGCCTGTTGTCAGCCCTAAACTAGCCAAATATTCTAAATTCCTTGGCTACACTAAATACCTGCCATTTTCTGACAGTGTTAAAAATGAGGAGAGAACCTAATGCTAAATCACGAACAGGCCTCCCACCAGATCTGGTAAATGAGAGCATGGCCTCAGGTTCAGCCTTGCAGACTGTGCATACGTTCAGCCACGCATGTGTTAACACTGGTGCATCAGCCCCAGGGACCCCTTTTGGTGCACCACAAGCTGAGTAGATAAGCTGTCTCCTTGAGGTTGTCTGACCCAACTCCTGGCTATATCAGCTGTTGGATCATTTGCCAAGGGATTTGACTTTACTGAGTGAACTGGGTTGACTAAAATTTAGGTTGGGGGGATGGGGATTTAGCTTAGTGGCACGGCACCTGCCTCACAAGCTCAAGGTCCTGAGTTCAATCCCTGGTACCAAAATAATAATATAATAAAAATAATAATTATGATACTTAGGAGTGGGGATGCTTGGAGAGATCCTATACAAGAGGAAGCCCCAAAGAAGGGTGGAGTTGGGAGGCTTTACTAGAGCCCACATCCCACTGTGCATCAGGAGGAAGTGAGAATGTACCCACATACTTCTCCGTGTGGGTGAGAGGGAAGCCTCCCTTGTCCCTCCAGACTGTTAGGAGGCGACACATAGATTTATAGTCAAGGCAGGAATTACTTTTCTCATGCTTTGGGAGACTTAAGATTTTCCATGTCCTTTAATACCATCTGGGAAATGGGCCTGCTGTGCCTGCTAATCCCCGAAGAACAACATCCACAGAAAGCCAGATATATATTCTACCTGCAGTAGAGAGGATGGGTCTTGACCCCATTTGAAACCAGAGAGGACACTCAGGGATAACGCTTGTTATCAGATTGAGAGACTTGAACATTGCTTAAAAACAAAACACTAGGGAACTTTGGGATATTAAATCCTAGTTCCCTCATGGAGTCCGCAACTTCTGTGACTCTTTATGCCACTCTGGGGCCCAGAGTCTCTTTTTAAACATCATATTCCTTTGGAGAGGTCCATTTCCCTTTATATGGATAAGCGTTTAGGGCTGATAACTCTTAAAAGACAAGGGAAAATACGTTTAGCTGTATCACCCAATAACTTCTTATTGACTGGTAAAATGCATACAGAAAAAGATGTAACCAGGTATGGTGGCACTGCTGGGAATGGTGGTGCACACTAGTAGTCCCAGCATTCAGGAGGCTAAGGCAGGAGGATTGCCATGAGTTCAAGGCCAGCCTGAACTACATAGCAAGACCCTGTCTCAAAAAAAAAGAAAGAAAAGTAGATTCCCCAATATGCAGCTCAGTGACTCTCCATCAACCCAAGGGACCCAGCACTCGCCCTGGTGAAGTAATGCCACTCAACAGCAGACCTACTTCAGTTTCTTTTGGGTAGTCTATCTGAAGCTCATGACATAATAATTCCCCATGGGAAGCATGGACTACTGATGTATTTTGCATCAGTACCTCTGATTTTGCAGCCTTCAGTGGAAAATACTTCCCAAATACTTTGCTAGATCCTTCTAATGGGGTGGTGGGCTCTTTTGGAAAAGTTTCAGATGACTGAGAGTTGTACATAGGCAGTCAAATTGGCAGGGCAAAGAGGGGCTCAGCAGTGTGATTATAGAAGCAAAGCTCAGTAGCATGTCACATAAGCTGTCCTGGGTTTGTTTCCTGAAATTGAATTGACTGTTCCTCTTTGCCATTATGGTTTCTAGACTTGGTCAGCAGGTGGAATAATCTCCAGACTCAAATCATACTCCTTTCCAAAGCCTGGCCACAGAAAGGTGCCAAAGCATCCCTACTTGTTGTCTCTGACTAAGTGGTAGGATGGATCTACGTGCGGCCCGTGCTCGCTGGCCCCGCTGCCCCCGCATCCTGCCCTCTGCTGCCTGCCTGTTTGCTGTATGCAGTCCTGGTTTGCACTTCTGCTCTGAGCACCCTGTGCCCGGGTGCATCTGTGCCTCCCTGTAGGTCCTCAGTCATTCTGCTGCTCAGCCAAGCAATGTCCAGCAACACCTGCCTGCTCTGTCTGCTAACGTGTAGCTTTGAAGTCATTTCAATGAGCAAGATCAGTGGTAGCTAAGTCTCAGGCCAGACAATCTTTTCAGAGACAGATAATTTACCTTTTTTTTTTTTTTTTTTTGCTAAAGTACTGGGAATTGAACCAAGAACCTTTGCACTGAGCTATCCCCAGGCATTTTTACTTTTGATTTATCACTAAGTCGCTAAGTTGCCCAGGATGGGCTCAAACTTGTATCCTCTTGCCTCAGTGTCCCTAGTGCTGGAATTACAACTGTTTGCCACTGTGCGCAGCTGCAAATTTAGTTTTGATTTGCCAGAATTACATGTGGTAGTGGGTTATGTAAGCTACATTGTGAGGGAGGGGAGCCCAAGGATTTGTGAGATACTGTATGTTGCCCAATGCGGATGGACTTCAGAGTTTGAGATGCAGAGAATTAGGATTCATTATTCTAGTTCATTAGAATTGAATAATTTAGATAATGAATTAGAATCATGATGCATATTGATTCATTATCTACCACTCATTCAATTCCTTCAATGTTGTTAATTTTTTTTCTTTCTTTTTTTTTTTGTTGTTTTTTGTTTTTTTCTTTTTTGAGACAGGGTCTCACTATGTAGTTGAGACTGACCTGGAACTCACTATGTAGCCCAGGCTGGTCTCGAACTCACAGTGATCCTCCTGCCTCAGCCTCCCTAGTGCTGGGATTACAGGCGTGCGCCACCATGCCCAGCTAAATTTCTAACATAGAATCTTAACATATAAAGAGAGATGACTGCAGAATTTCTTCACAACAGTACTAGATTGCTGAATGATTTAATAATGATAGCTGAGGTTAATCAGGTTGACATATTCAAAGAAAACATCACCAAAAACCAGTAGAACAGTCTGAGAAGGCACCCACCTTGGCTGCCTTTTGTTGTTTTCTAAGCAGGCTTAAGCAGTGCAGGTCACTCAAAGTAACTAAGAAAGTACCTAGAAAATCAGTTAGTGGGTCTTTAGGCAACAGGAGAACATGTCTAAAGGAAGTTGAAGAATCAGTAAATATGATTATATAAAATAAGTGTAAACACAGTAAAAATATATCATCAAAAGAAAAATAAGAAACCGGGAAAAAATGTTAGTAATGATCACACACATATATGTGTGTATGATTAATTGTCTTAAATATAAAGAGACTATAAATCAATAAGAAAGTATCATTTAACAGGATAAAAGGCAGAAAATGTCAGTAGATAATTTAAAGTAAACCAAATACAAATAGCTCTTAAACAAACGAAAAGTTGTTGAACTTAAGAGAAACACAACTCTGATGCTCAACTTTGTCCACCTGTGAAACTAATCCAAATATAAACACTTAGTCACATACCATGTCACAAGGGATAAGTAGATAAGCATTTCTGTACTTCAGTGGAGCAACGTGAAATAGTACAGCCCCTCAGAAGGGTGATTTTGCAACATCTATCAAAATTAAAAGTACATAAAACTCAGCTCTGTTATTTCCATTTTTGGATATTCATCATAAGATATCTTATATATTCTACCATCATGTATATAAGAAGGTGTTTAATCCAACTTTGTATAATTGAAAGTCTGCTAATAAGACAGTGCCTATCACTGCAAAACGAAAGAAATCAGTTACAGTAAAATTGCTACTATGGGCGAAGCTGAGATCTAGGGCTATTTCCAGAATATACAGTTAAAACTGTAAATGACAAAGCCATGGGAAGATATGTAGGTACCATTGACATGGTATGGAATATCCTGGAAAAATACAGAAAATACTAGTAATGCCAGGTGCCAACGGGATAACAAGAGACCTGCTTTTCATTGCAAGCCATGTTGTGCCTTTTGAAATGTGTACCTACTAAAATATTTTATTCATTTTTAAAAAACAGTTGGATATTACAAATTAATCTAATTAATATTGTGAAAATGCTTTCCTTGCAAAAAAGATGGTTGTACATTTAAATTTTTAATAACTTGAAATGGGCATTGAATTTTTATAGATGTCAAAGATATCAGTAGATAATTCATAAGATAGCAGGATTCTATGATTTAAGCTATGGACACAAAACATTTTAGTTGCTTATCAGGATGATTTTAGGAGAACTAATATTTACGTTTTCACAAAATGGTTGGGGAATTTTTCCAGAATTTAACAGACATGAGAAAAGAATTGAGACACTTATGTCAAATATTGCATCTGTTGGGGCCAGGGATTTAGCTCAATGGTTGCGCTGCCTGCCTCACAAGCACAAGGTCCCGAGTTCTATCCCTGGTACTACTACTACTACTCCTACTAATAATAATAATAATTATTATTATTATTATTATTATTATTCCATCTGTTATGCTAAGGAGTAAACAAACAGCTTTTTCTAACTTATTCATTTGTTCAGCATGAATAGTTGTTTTTAATAATTCAGGTACAAAAATACATTATAAAACTTGAAGTATACTTTGATTTTAAAATTATTAGTTTTAAGATTTCATAATAAAAACTGAAAGGCAGATGCATTTAACCTTTTCTTTAGAATTTCCCTAATATGATCAGACTTAAATATTCCAGAATTTCTCATTAAAACTCATTTTTATATTTTATTTAACACATACATTGATAATTGGGATATTTAAAACCTTACATCTAAATACACAATTTAAGGTTCAGTGAGGAGAGAAAAAAAATTCTCAAGTCCCATCTCTTTGCTTGGTAATGCCTAAACAGTGCATGACGCTTCTGAGAAACGCGTTTCCATATAATCATTCAGGGCCAGGTTTTGGTCTTCGTTGTAAGATGAGAGAAGACTAACTGTGCAGGTCACAGGTTATTTCCTATGCCTACAGCAGGCGTAATACTTCCCCATGCTGGCAAGGGTCTGCTCTCCTGCTCAGTGTACTCCTGACCTATTGGGCTACAGTCATTCCTCCACCAGGGACTGTGCACCATGTCTGCTTTTTTGCAGTCAGTATTTCTGAAGTCAACTTGTTCTCCCTGCAGTCAGGTGCATGTTATCACCTGCAGAATCTCTGTTGCCTAATTGTAAAATGTGTTTCAGAGAAGTGGGAGCAAAAGAAAAACAAGTCTAGAAACTAATGACAGAAAATATCCCCTGACAATACTCTGGAACTAAGCAACTCTGAATTAGCCTATCAGTTTCATAGAAACAAGAAACAAGAATTATTTTTCTCCATGCACTTCCAAATTCCCACTTCTTGTTTTCTTTTAATTAATTTATTAATTTATTTATTTATTAGTGCCAGGGATTGAACTCAGGACCTTGTCCCTTGCAAGACAAGTGGCAGAACCATTGAGCTAAATCCCTGGCCTTTTTTTTTTTTTTTT